GTGCCTGGGTAGGTGCGGGGAAAGCTGAGTATTCTCAAGCAGACTCCTACCTTACCTCCAACCATGGCCGACATACAAAGACTTCTATAGTGGCTGAGGAAAGAGGCCAATATTTAAAGACCAAATAGAAGGGAAACAAATAGAGGCTATGTCCTGATGCCAGGATTCACATAAATCTCTTCCTTCCAGTTGAGATTACTCCCTGAGTAAAGGGTAGGACTGGGAGTGGGGCAGAGAGAATCCTGAATTTGTCAGAATTCAAAATTGTCCAGATATTTATCATAAAGAGACTGAATTCTAAACCAGAAGTAACTGGGTTACAGTGAATTGGCAAATTAATTTTTGGTTCTCATTGGAGAGAGTTAAGATGGGGTATGCATTTGGTTATAAGCTAAACTGAGTTCAGTTATAGAGAAATAAAGTTATATTTTTATACATCAAAGTTGTGACTGAAAGGTAAACCACAACATGCTAATCCTGGGTTTATAGAGATAAAGTGCTGAGGAAACAAGGTGTTCTCAAACTAGGCTAAAAATCTATTCTGGCAAAATCAGAAAGACCCTCTTAGGGAAACTGCAAGCAGGTCTATAGGACTGGCTTTCCAAATCCCACTAGTAGGCATGGTACTGGGTCCTTACTCTTACCCCTCTATGCTAGGCCTGCTGTAAGAGGCAAAGAGGAAGCCATGCAGCACTCACTGTCAGCTAGTTTCTCTTTCAAGGCCGGGACAGAGGGTTCCTAGCTGTGCACACTTAATAGAATTGAAAGTTGGAAAGGAAAATAGAGTTGCAGAGGAGACAGGAAATGTGGAGACATAACAAGAAAGAGAAAGAATAGGAGAGATGAAGCAGGGGCAGATGGATGAAGGGATAGGGAATATAGAGTGGGAGGAGGAGCAGAGGAAAAACGATGAGAACAAAGCTAGAAAAAACTAAGAGAGGAGTAAAGAAAGAGTAGGGTATTAAAGATGGAAGGAGGCTTGGGAGAGGGGCTAAAAGTGGTGGTAGTAGGAAGACAGAGAAAGACCTTGTTTTGCCCTTTTCTGGCCATACATAGACCACCAATCTTGGGCCTAAAGGTACTGCATATTACTCTGGGATGGATAAGGAAAGGAGAAAGGAAAATATCTCTTTCCATTCAGGGTTTCTTGTTAGCACTAGGTAGTTCTGGGAAGCCCTTCATGCCCACAATCTGACTAGGTGCAGTGAGGAACTAGAGGCCGAGGAAGCCACTTCACCAGATCGTCGATGGCATCTTTCACGGCTGTTATGGACAGCACCACCATCAGGGGTGTCATAGTTGTATACCATGTCAAGGAGGAGATCTGGGGAATCAACTAAGAGAGGGAAAGGGAGAGAATCTTGGGTCAGAAAACTCAAAGGATAATATATTCCCCCCTGCCACCACATCCCTCACCCTCAACATCATTTTCACCTCCATTTGTTCATACAAATTCCAACTATCCTAGTTGCTTTCCACTGTTGTATCTTTCATATAATCCCCCAAATATAAGCAAACATTTCCCAAGGGAGGAGAAAAGAATAAAAGGCTCTAAGTTGCTACCTATCTATACTGAACCCCACAACCTTTGTGTTGATGGCAAAGAGTCATTTCTCCTTTGACAGTGAAAAGTAATGGGTGTGGAGAGTGGGTAAGAGTAGGTACAGAAAAACTACATGCTCTCCCACACCCTTCAGTACAAGGAGGAGTGAGATGATCTGTCCCTCTCTCCCAATTTGGGCCTACCCTGCCCTGCTTCCTGTTCTTATGCTGGCACTCATATTCTAAACCATCCTAAACCTTCTTTAGCACTCCCACATGTTGATTTTATGTCAGGGAGGCTGGGACAAGAAGGAGGAATAGAGTTGGAGTTGTGGTTGGGGTGAAGAATCTGTAGCCCCCTATGGTCATGCTGAACTGTGGCAATGCAGCCATGATGAGGAGCTCCCCTTTCTTAGAATGTGGTGACCTTGTCCCCTTCCTTGTATAGAGGCTTGCCATACACTAGCTGATCCTGACCACAGCTATTCTAAGGGACTGGTCTGAGACTCCAGTCATCCATGTTCCTGTTGTCTAAAGACAGAAGACATTTCCCAGTTTAGGGAGGAAAAAAACTGATTATACAGCCTGACCCCAGAGAGATTCGTAAAATACTCTGTGAAAAAGGCCCCCAAAAGGAATACCTGTAAAAATAGCAAAATGAGGAAATATGCATTTGCAAGTCTCTGGAACTGTTCAAATAGGTTCAGAGGCAGGAAATTAAAGACACTATATTTTGAGGTCTTGATGGTATTGTTCTGTGAGTAAACAAACAAACAAACAAGAAATACACAATTAGACAAAAGACAGCTCAAAACTGGGTTAATAAGCAGTTGCCACTACCTCCCAGTCTACCCTTCCCCTACAAAAAAGACCAAAACCACTGAGTGAAATGAGAAAAAGCCACCAAAGCACCCCGACTCCAACCACCAGCATGGGGAGGGAGAGAGAGAAGGAATCTCTAATTTCCCCCTTTTTCTTGAGGCCTAGAGAGGCCTAGAGGGTAGAAAGAAGGCAAGGCTGCTCTATATGATACTTGGGGGAATATCTCTGCCCTGATAGAGTTCTTGTTTATTCATATTATTGATAGTAATAATGATAATCAAATCAACACCAATAAAAACTTACATTTATTGAGTACTTACTACGTGAAAGGCACTTTTCTAGCATTTTATATGTAGCAACTCATTTACTTCTTACAATCACCCTATGAGGGGGGTACTTTTGAGGATGAGGAAATTGAGGTACTGCATCCAGAGCTCTCTAACAAAGCTTTCCTTAGCCAGGCAAACTCAGTCTGGTGTGCCTTTCTGTGCTTTTTGCAATGTTGAAGGATGTCAGATGCTAAAAGCAAAATACTGTCTTTCAACCCTAGCCCACTGAAGGTTTCGATAGGGGTCACTATCAGCATTGGAGAATCATTTGGCCCTTAATTGTCCTAAGAGGATTTAAAGAGTTTTGGCTTATATCTAAGCTATTATTTTGCTGAGTGAAAAAGGGAACTTGTCTACTTCCTCGATTCTGATCTCGAGATGTTCACAGGACTATCTTACTTTCTACCTTGGAGTCTTAAATCATTTGTCCTAAGATGTCAGAGCTCAAATCTAAGAGCTCTAAAAGCAGGAGAATAAGACCAAATAATTCTCTAAGTTCAAGGCTTATCTCCTACCTCTTCCATTTAAAAGGACAGAACAAAAGAATAAAAATAACTAATGGATACTAGGCTTAATACCTGACTGATAAAATAATCTGTACAAAAAATCCCCATGACACAGGCTTACCTATGTAACAATCCTGCACATCCTGCACATGTGCCCCTGAACTTACAGTTTTTTTTTAAAAAAAGAAGAACCTACCTGCTGGCCTGGAGTACAGATACCGCTCAAGCATGAAGAATTCTTTTTTTTTTGAGACGGAGTCTCGCTCTGTTGCCCAGGCTGGAGTGTAGTGGCCGGATCTCAGCTCACTGCAAGCTCCGCCTCCCGGGTTCA